ATCCGGAGAAGCGTGAGTACCCAGTGGCGCTCAACTTAACAGCATCCGCTTTCATTTCATGTTGTTATGTGACAAATCCTCCCTGTCAAGCTTGGGCCGCAAAGGGGCAACGGTAAGAAACAAAGCCGTTTTCATTGATCCTATTTGTACGGGACCTAGTCACTTGGTCGCTAAACCGATTCTTCGTCACAATCAAGTACCCGCTGGGGGACGACAATAAGGGTTGCGACAAAACGAAGATGGTGTATTCTGGAAACGGTCGCAAAACCACCAACACAAGCCTGCTTTTGGTCAGTCTTATTGGGTGCATCGTCATCATCATCATCATCATCATCATCATCATCATCATCACCATCATTGTTAGGTGCAAAACTGACAGGCCTATTGCTGGGATGTACAAAGGAGTAAATCTGATAGCAAAGAAAGCGTCTAAAGAAGCCAGCTTCGGAAAACCTGCTCTACCATCGGTGAACGGCACCACTCCACGGCAGATCCGGATTAAATGCTAATGGTTATGTAAACCATTCATCGGAAGATACAGAATTCCTCCACTCACCTGCGGTCATTTCGCAATGTTTCTAGTTAGTTTACACATTCTTGTTCACAATCGCCTCTCCTCTTATTTCTTCCGAACTAATAGTGACTTGAATGCGTAAATAACTGGCTATGACGAGGCAACTTTCCTGTGCACAGTACATCTAGTCCAACCAGTTGAAAGGTAATGAAAGAGCACACTGCTTCACTCCAAGCTGATCGATTCATCCGGCGTGACTCCTAGGTTCCTACCCTGGATCCACAACTACAAATGAAGTCCGAAAACCTGTACATTACTGAAGGAAATCTTACCCGTTTTTTGAAATCTGCGTTGGAGTTTGACTATGCAGTCCACTATACTATAGGAGACCATTATTTCTCAAAGATCGTGCCGACAGTCCCAGCTAACCAATATCTGTTGCATTTATCAAGGCCTTTCCGTTTGAAAAAGTCCTGACTTATACTGAGTGGCTTAGCAGACACCTGCATAGCAGAAAGGGACAACAAGATTTTGTCTAACCGCCTGCGTCGTTGTTCCTCTAGATCTCTTTAGGTAGTGGTCCATGCTGGACCAAGACTGACATAAGTTTGTACATCGTCACTCTCCCTCTTCACAGTAGACCTTGAGGCATCCCTAATTTAGTGGGTAGAAAGAAGGATTCTGTACATTCGTCATTCACTGCATACATTTTATGCCTTTATGAGCGCTGACAAAGAGCATTTACCGCAACTTTTCACTGCTCAGGAGGTAAAAGTAGCCTGCCCAAGCTACCTGAGAAATCTGTGTCTCCTGAAGTGTTCCTTTACCCTTTTTTCTTCTATTATACATAAGGGACATGCAGCTCTCTGATCTTCCCTTTTATTCCTAATACGTTGTCATCTGAATGCAGCAGATCTGTAGCCACGGGATGTGATGAATAGAGTTCGGTTTATTATCTGGGAATGCCAAGCTGGTTCCATTTATTCCACCTTCGATAAACTTCACTATGATCTACTAAATAGCCACCAACTCCTCACTGTCTTCAGTGTCATTCTCCGCAGAACCTCCAGTGTGAAATATATGGGTTTGTTTCTCGTACCCACTCACTTTCTGTCCCCCTTAATCGTATTCATAAACTTGTTAATGTTTCATTCTCACCTACTGGGTTTATTGTTTTTTAATCGACTTCCCGAGGTATCTTGAGGTTTAATATTATTTTACTATCCGGCTGTAATTGGATCTAAAGTAATATTTTGGTTTACATGGCGCCATGCCCATTTTGTCCTCCGTCTCAAGTTCACTCAGCTTTTTCTACCCTCTTCACCACTCATCCCCTCAATAAGTTCAGCGCAGGCACTCCTTCTTCCAGAACGTTTACTTACCGTATTTCTGTTATCAATTAGTCGGATCGATTGTTCTGTTATTCTCATCTGTTTGTAAAACTTTCATAGATTGGCATGTTAAGTGAATTCTCCATCTAATATCTGCAAATTTTCTTGATGAAAATACATCTTCCGGTAAACAAAAATTTACCATGTGTGTTGTCTTGGGAATAATGCCACTTAGCTTTTATCCGCCAAATACAGAGAGGGTTGAACAAGGTGGCATTCCTAGTTTCTCTTGGTTTAGTTTTCCAACATGTTTCAGTCGAACGATCTTCATGATATGTTCTCCAAACCAGATGATCCCTTCTACTTGAAGCCCTGTTTTTCATGAGCCTGCCTGGTTGGCCATCAGTTGGACTGTTATGCGCTTACCAACTGGAATAAATGTCTCATAATCAAAGTGGACATTCACGAGTTTGATTCATACTTGATGTCCTTTTCATGAAACAAATTAGTGACACGAAAAAATTTTGTTTTCCGCAACTAGTGATATGCGATTCCTTGCATGTATATTTGAAATTTACAGGTTCCATCTAGCATCAGTTCAATCCAGAAAATCGTATTCAATTGCGTGGTTAAATATACGTGATAAAATAGGACTGTTTGTGCTGTACACCATAAGAACTAGAGTTAGCCAATACATTTCAGTCAGGAAAGTATATTAGGGCAAGCAGTGCATCTATGCATATGAGTCTAGCGTGATAAGCCAACAGTTTATACTGCTAGAATAACCATTCATGGGAGGCGTGTCAGTCATCACCCGGCAACTCTAGCACTCTGTACCTTTTGTGGTTGAGTCAGGGATTTCACTCTGAAACAAAGTGTGTGGGTTAATCTAATGTAGCAATCTGACGTGTGCACGGATGACCAGTGGTGCTTCTGACAAAGGTAGCCAAGGGATTTGAAGGGATTATCTTAAACTATAATCTAAGTTTTGTAGGCGTGGCTCGGAACGGATGTTTTCTGATGTTGTCTAGAGGGCAACTTATGCTGACAGGTTGTTGTTACTCCGGACCATTAGAAGACTAGTCAGCCTAACAGCTGGAGGAAGCTAAATAAGTTTGGCAGCAAGTCGCTCGAAATGAATGGAAGAAAAAGTAAAGGATAGCTTGAAACAAAGCCCACTAAGTTACCTTGGAAGTGATTGTGGAAGACAACTATGATAGATTTGTCGACTGTATGAGCCTGAGTGGAACCAACAAAATACCATATAACTTCGTCACACTGTCACTTGTTAAAGCAACAGTCTTAGGTTTTAAGGTTTGTCGTTTAGGAAAAATTTATATGGCTCGTTAAGCTGCCACTTTCGAAGCATCGCTTAATAAAACCAAACTTGGGTCCATTACATCACACAGATCATGTGTTTTCCCTTAAATTAGTAGGACGTACCACAAAGAGGGCGCACACATTAACCGTGTCCACGGATTCCATCTGCCAACCTTGGCACTCACTTATTCAGGTCTACGAGTCGATACAATGAAACACTGAGGAATTTAATTCATTCAATCTATAGGGAAAGGACGGAAGGAGAATAAAACATCTCTTGCGTCACTAAAGTTCCAAGGGTTCATCATTTCCTAGATCAGGTAATTTAGGAAAGAACACGGATGTGGCATCCGTATAAATAGTCTTCCTCATGAGATGGGAGACTGACATCCTAGCACTTTGAAGCTTTCAACGCACTGCTAACATAACACACTCTAATATTCTAATATGATTTTTACGGTCAGCGTATCATCGCGTTATCACGAATAAGCTTGGTTTCACTCGTCGACTGTCCAAACGGTTACATATGCGCACTACAATGCACACTACCCCGGATGGGCCAAGGGCGTGAATAAAAGATAAGTTACCGACGAAAATAGGCCTTACTGCAACGATGACTAGAACTACTTGTGTGACGCACGTGAGAGACTTGTCAACCGGTGGCACTATACACTTCAGAATGCCACGCTTGGTCATGATGATGATCATCACCATGGACAGCGAACATCAGTGTTGGACACTGATGCTTCGTTGCCGTACAATCATGATTTATTTGAAAGAATTATTATGAAAAGAATCAAAGTGGGTGGGGAAGGGACTTAGTCCTAGCTTACTACAATTACCCCAGACACTCATTCAAGCAGGGATATAAAGTGATAAAACGAACGACACTGACATCGATTAGCAGCCACGGATTAGAACTCCTCCAACCAGGCGCAATGCAAATCACGCGGCCCCCATCCTGGTAGGCGATTACCACAGACAGCACCCAGACATTTCGTGATCTCTTTCAAAACCCTCTGCCAAGTCAAGGGTTGGCCACCTCTCTTGTGCCACTCTGAAATGGACACAGGAAATAGCACTGTCTTCGGCATACGTAAAACATGGCCCAGCCAATGCAGCTTCTGGGGCTGGACACATTCTTCAATGGAAGTACTCGTTGCACAACCAAAGACTCGCTTTCTAACTGCCTCATTACGGATTCTCCGACACCAAGCCACAAAGGCTATGGTCCTAATACAATGATTGCCGAACACTTGAAGAGGTCCATCTGAGGCAATCTGCACAGAACAAGTGTCAACCACACAATAAAACGGCCAATACTGTGGCCCGGTAAACACGTACCTTGGTATTCGGGAACATACCGCTTTGACGCCATAGGTGTGTCAAATTAGCAAACGCGACCCGAGCCTCGCAGATTCACGCATTGACCTCATCCGTCACCCTGTAGTCGGAACTAATACAACTTTGAAGATACGGAAAACGCTGCACAACTTCGAGTGCCCCCGTGGATTGTAAATAGCGTCATTGCATATCCACGAGCATGACCGTACACTTTGTGGGTGCAAAGTGCATACCAAAGGAAGGGATGACTCTGGTCAACTGATCCAAAAACCCTTAATCCTTCTTTTCCCCTTCAAAGACGAGAACCATATAGTCTGCACATTCCAGATGAACAAACATTTTGTCAGGGGCTATTTGACTATTGGAGTTTTGCAGACCTTCCAGTGTTCGTCTCATTATCCCATCTAATGGGTGGAATGAGCACCCCTGACGGAAATATATTTGTGTAAGGAAGCCTTTGGAAAGCTCGCTATATACTCTCACACGTCCGGATGTCTGAGAATACAAATAACATATCATGTTCACAAACTTCCGAGGCACTCCTTGGTGGGCAAGTGTGTCAAGAAGAACAGACAGGTCGACCGATTCGAATGTGCCTTCGAAATATAGGAGCACTAAAATTGTGGGTCGTTTTTACGTATGACATCGTACTGCCTGACGGAGTGTTAATATTTGGTCAACGCAACCCCCTATCAGGCCGAAACCCCGCTTGCTGCTCTCACGAACGACTATAAAGTGAACAAGCAAAAAGACGCCAGCAGTCTCGTTTCAACCAGGGTTAAGCTGATATTCTTGTGGTTACCACACTAACTATGAACCCCTCTTTTTAAAATGGCACTATCACCGACTTCCTCAGTTGTCTGAGACAGCCTCCTTTTCCCAGATGTATGCAAACACATTAGACAAGCGCTGACCGAGGATTTCATCCCCGTCTTTGAACAATGTGGTGGGAGGTTTTTGGACCAGAAGCTCGGTGGCGCTTGAGAGAATATATGCAGTCAGCAGTTGTAAGGGGTTCCACGTTTTTCTGTGTCAAATGTTGGTTCCAGTGGCGGCTGTTTGTAATACCAACCAAGTAACCTCACATCTACGCACACTTGTGCCAGTCCAGAAAGACTCAGATGCAAGTAGTACTGATCCAAAGCAAATCTTACGACAAGCTGGCGAAATCACTAAAAATTGTTGAGCTTCTTGCACAGCTTCTTGTTTGCAAAGGCCCAAGCAGTTGGTTTTCGATAATTATTGAGCTTTTACGCACAACAGTTTGTCCCATACATCACATGGGATTTGAGGTTTTACGAGCTTTCTTTAGTATGCGACATTGACACAAAATTCGTTGTAAGAAAAGTCTTTTAGACATATTTAACTAGCTTAATAAAGCATCACAATGAGAACGAGCGCGCACGAAATAGCATAATTCTTTTGCGGAAGTTGGCACCGTGACCCTGAAAGGTTTCACTTGTAAAATCTCTGCTCTGCATAATGTTGAAAAAACTGGGTTGTGATTCTCAGAAATGACAACTCCGGGGCGCCCAGCATACGCAGGTGGAGTAAAGGTAACACCCTGGGCCCGTATGTTAGATAAGGCTTCATACTTCGGCACTACAGATCAACTCTAAACGGAAAAAAGCTCAAGTTCGGGGTTCCCCTTCTTTTGTGTGGGCTAGCTTGGATAAGGGTTAGGAGACAGGAATACTGTCCAAATGAAGGGAGCACATACACTTGGCTTGTCCCCTGAAACTCACGATACTGGATGCTACATTTTTGGCAGAAGTATTTATGGTCACTTCCGAGTCATAATTCTTCGAATTCGTGAGTAAAAGGTACAGCGCTCATAAAAATACCACCACATCGACCATAATGGGATTTCAGGCGTGCCCACTGGTTCTCAAACGGTACAGTGCGGGACCTAGACGGTATAACTGGAAGTGTCTTGGTGCAAGTGAAATCGCTGCGCATTTAGATTCACCAGTAGACCTAACGGGACATGATGTGTCTGCGCATTTCTATGTAATTTTGAGCAACGATGAGCGAATGTTGCGGCATACTCACAAATAAAAAAGATCTCAGATAGAAAAAGGAAAAACTCACGGCTAGCCGATGGATCTGAATTCCAGCCTATATCCAACGCATGCCTTCCATTATTCCAGTTTTCCTGACTGTACGGTTTTTGGCTTTCCGAAGCTGTTCCACCAAGGATTGTTGATTTTTTCTTGTCCATTCGTTGCTCACTGAGTGCTTGGTGTTTTGTTTCATGAAGGGAATTTCGTCCTTTATCCGCAGGGCTTTCGACGGGGGAGTTAGATACGATGGAGTCATGGACGAGATCATCGAGCACGGGGTCAGCAAGTGAAAGAATCTCATAATGAGATGCATCCAGACGCATGTTGCCTGGATAGCCATAAACTGTAATGCACTCTCCCATCATTAGTATTACGAAGGAGAGGAAAATATGCGAGTTCGAACGCATGTTAAACTAATGGTTTTGGATAATCTCCTCGCATCTAGTAATCCAGACTTGTCACAGCAGTAAACGAGCAGTAGACAAAAATAACAAAGCGTGGCATCAGATGTCCTGGTTTCGCGTGTATGAATGCCTAGTGTGTGCGTATGCGCATGCAGACCTGCGTGCGATGTCAAGCGACCCAAGCAAAAAGCTGTTTGAACCAATCACCACGTAAGTAGTTTTGACAGTGACACACGGTGACCTTTATCACCGCTACGAGGTTTGTGCTGCACGTCAGTCCGTCCAAGATATCACTCAGTGACCCTCGGAGGTGTCGTTGGAGGTCAACTCTGGTCAACAATTGAGCGGACGACAGATGTCAGACAATGGAAATCGCTAACCCAGATGACTGATATCAGGCAGTGTACCATACTGACTCACAGTCCAAAGCCGAAGTTACACGCCGCTCCGCCGAGAAGAAATGCTCTTCTACAACATTCCAAATGACTTACTCAGCCTTGGCATAATTCACATAACACGGACATTTGGCATGGAAAGGTGTCTACCAAAACAGGAAGTAAGCTTACAAGAGGAAAACGCTGACCGGCGCAGTCAACAGCTAAGAACCGTCTCCGCGCATCCGGCCTTTGAGACCTCACGCATCGTAAACACGTGATTAGCGTTTGGCCAAAATGTAACCAAGTAATTAAACTATCCAACTCAGGGGAACATCACAATGAACAGGTTACACTTTTAGACGAACTTGTGTTTCTTCCGTCATTCGCATTAGAGAAAACAGTATCTCTGTAGGCTCTGCGGATTTTCAGACAACACATAACCAAAGGAAGTGTCCCAGAAAGTGTCCCTATGAGGCACTGCGATTTTTGGTTTTAATTTGGTTGCCGAATGGCGGAAAGGTGGGCTTCAAAGAAAAATCCAACGCCAAACTGAAAATAGCGAGGATTTGTTGAAAACTAACGTCTGTCCTAAGCTACTGTGCTATTGCATCTCTAATGGGACGTCATTACTCGAAAAAAGCGAATGTTGCATTTTTTCCCCCAGTTTTCACATTATCCTGGCAAGAAAATGGACCGAAATATACAGTGTAGGAAACGCCAAACGATAGTGAACTGAAGCTAACGTAAACCAGGTTAGTCATGTCCGCTTATTACGTTAACCGTCTCCATAGTTCGGTTTTTGATCGCAGTAATAACTCACAATTTCAGCACGGCTTTCCTTCACAAACGTAGCTTTACATTAGTTTGATTTATATATTTGATTTATACATATATATATATATATACGTCTGAAGTTAGTTTAGTTAAAACGTAGCTTTACATTAGTTTGATTTATATATTTGATTTATACATATATATATATATATACGTCTGAAGTTAGTTAGTGTAGGTCAAAGAATCTACGTATTTTCCGTGGTTTCTTTGGTCTTGGTAAGTTGTTCCTGATTCAATTCCTTCATGCTACCCTTGGTAAGTTTGCGACTGACCCATGTGAACAGTGAAGCCACATTGAGTTCGAATATAACCCGGCCGCCTTCTACCGGTGCATACAGTGTTTTGCTCAGCCCCGCGTTCAGCCCCGTGTCAATATTGTGGTTGAATCCGGTGATTAAATGTATTATCCTCTTATAAAGGTCCGCTAACTTGTATGCTGTGTTATCTGGCAGAAAAACGATTAGAGTAGAGCTCTTTCCGTGTGTACAACGGTAGTCCAGAGAGTTGGGTAATATTAATGTCCTCTCGTCCACTTGTCGTCGTTCTTCACTAGTTGTATTTTCTGTTCTCAGTTTTTGATGTGCGCTGGTCCTTCTGTCAGTTGTCTATCGATTTCAAGGCATACGGTCGTACCAGAGTGTAGTGCCCATGACTTTTCAAGGTATTCTGACATTCATTCATTCCTTATCGGCTGTTAGTATTATATCTTTTTTAAAAAACATGATTGGGTCCTTTTTGCTTGCTTTGGTAATCGATATATGTGATTCATCCTATCCCCGCTAGAAAATGACATAACCTTGAGAAGAGATGGAAGTAAGCAGTTAACCGAAAATTGGGAAATACGCCTGATTTAAGAAGCCATGAACAGCGAAAGACAGATGTGAGCTGCCTGCGAATTAGCGCTGCTTAAAAATAACGATACTTCAATCTTTTCAGCGTCGGTCAAAATAAACCCTGAGACGGACTTTGTACATCACTACCAGTTGTCGAACAGAACAAATGAGAGTTTCCTCTTAAACCTGTTCACTAATCTTGTTCACATTAGTTTTATGTTCGAAAGGAATACGAGTGCAATCTTTAGTGATGCCACTGTGGTGTTTCTTATCAGTGACCAAAAAAGAAAGTGTGGGAAGCATCTGTTCAAAATAACTTACATCGGAACACTTCTAGGTGATCCCAGTTTCCGTCACCCAGTCATAAGTCGCATATTTAAGAAATGAAAAAGCCCACATAAGTTTCTATTCCAGACTATCATGATAGCGCTGTCTAAATCCGAAGGGCTTGCGAATGTTGGTTACAAATGCTTGCAGAAATGCGTCGTCACTCCCAATGGTAAGGGAGTGGCCGACGCCATCATGAAATGCAGCGAATGAAACTGATTGGCAAGCGATTAGAATGAAGAGAAAATCTTATGGACCTAGAGATAAAATAAGAATATAACGACGTCGTTCAAATGAGCTAACCAGCCCAGAAATGTAGTCTGATTTCAAAAGTCCAAGAATTGACTTGAAACGTTCTATTACCAAGCGGCCAGAATCCTAATTTTAAATCACATCAGAAATAACTTTACAGGATGAGCCTACGAAATAGCAGTACTTTGGCACCACATACTTAATTCGAAGTTACAAGCTATAATTATCAGTTAGAGGCGTGTCTGTTGTGGCTAAAACGTCATCGGCTTGGCAACCGTTTGTTTGTCTCGCTTCAATCCTTTTGTTCTCACACAAAAAACATCCGTATCAGGAGGATGAACTTAAAATCATCACCAAAAGATATACTGTCACGGATCGAATAGCCTTTAGCCGAGAAACATCACTACTAACCTATGTGTTTCGCCTAAAAATCACTCTAGTAACTCAAACTCAGATAGCCATTGAGGGGATTAATCATAACGGGAAATCGGTCAATGGTGCATACATGTGAGATCTTGTAGTTTCAAGAATTTCGGCGTGACAGTCTGAGTTAACAAGAGTTCCTAGCTGCATTCTAAACGTATGTACAGTGAGGTATTGGTTTGGTGTTTGACAACATTTGCGAACAGGTAGGAGCTTCGTTGACTTTGCCCTCAGGTTTTGTTGTTCGAATCGCCCGATGGTGACGAACTAAGCAGCAGGTCAGCTGTTTCATTATTATCAAGTCTCGTCAATAGTATGTATATAATCACATCTAAAGATAAGACATTGCAACGACAAATATGGAGAGTAACTTCAATGTGCCCTCCGTTGAGATGTCATTAATAAAGAGGCACTGGAAGCCTGACCTGTGTGCTGTGGTAGTATAATGGTGCCACATCCTCCAAAAACGTTTTGACAGTTGACTCCATCTTGCAAAGTTTTAATGATTCCCCGAAAAATTTCCATACAAAATTTCCTCATGTCCAGGCCTTCTACGCCGAAGCACTGATTTTAAATCTCCTGGTTTTTTAACAAAAAAATTCCAATTTCTTTAAAAGGCCGTCCATAGTAAAGTTTGAACTTTGTGCTAGTATAAGGAAGCCAGAAGCCTATCAGCGATAATTCTCAGTGACCCAAATGATGTTACTCAGATGCAGGTATGCAACATCACTCTTCCTTGCTCCGGCTATCCGGTAGATGGAAATCTCATCATGCTGTACACTCATGTTGAAATTGAGTTGTTTTTTTCACCAGTGGCCGCATGACAGAAAGAATAAGGTAGTGTGTTACAGTGCCATTTTGCCTTTTATGCGTAGACAGTGTGGGTTTAATTATCTGCTAACGGACCTTGGATTCAACCAGGACATACAACTGGTTCGTACACCCTAGTGAAAAACATCAACACTTCCATGCGCGCTGTCGCTGCCACATGTTAGTTTAAAGCTGTGCGCGTGATTCGGCCGAATAGGGTTAGAAACATACATGGATTTAAAGTTTGTAACAGAAGTCAATAGCACGTTCTGCTACCATAATTTTAAAAACATCCGTCCGGAAGTAGGCACGCGAGTATTTGAGTAGTGTACTCCTTATGCTTAGGACTATGGATTACAGTTTTTCAACAATCAATAAAACCCGTTCTTCTGTCTCACAGGAGAAACTTTTCGTTCCCTAAAACGAAGGCAAAGACAAACCAATGAGGACTATCTCATACTGGTCAAAAATTAGCAGGAAAGTGGCTACGAAGAGAGAAGGCCCATTGTTTTCTATTATGGTGCCTTAATTTCACTAGTGATTTGGCTAGGTTTTCGTGATAGGTGTTGAGAAAGGTGGGTTTTACAGAACATTGCATTTCGACCGTTTTTTTACAGAGTTACGCTGGAATTGCGCACTATTTGCTAAGTTAGTACATTTGTCAACAAGGCTTTTCGAAGCGTGAACTACGTACGTGCGAACAACATAGCATTTACTTGGTCACTGAAAAAATAAGGGAATGAAGACAGCACTGCAGATGAAGCAGGTAAGGCAAATTCCCCCTACCTCAGGGATATACATTTTGGTAACGCCAGCCCAGGACAAAAATAAACCATGACGCAAACAAAGGCTGTGATCAAACGTGAGGATGTACAAGTTTCCATAGGTAGTAAATGGAAAAACAAGACTTGACTCCGCATACGATTTGGCATTCAAGCAAACTATGAGGCTGATATGCACTTGAGAATGCTGATGAACACCGAGAACGGCGAAGTCATTAGCACGAAGTCGAGAGGTTTCCGTCAAGCTTACGATTGACTAATTCTTTATAAAAAGTAAAAGAATAATTGCAATCAGACCGAAATGAGCATCAGCGAAATGAGTCATGCGATTTTTCTTTGAGTGGACTGTCCAGGGGAAAGACCAAGAATACTGTGGAACGCACTGGCAATGTCTTCTTCAACCCGCAGTTCGCTTCGTTTCTTCATTGTCATATGCAATGGGCTTTTGAATCTCACCTTCAAGGTTATGTGGGAACAGGTGAACCCAGTGCATATCTGATGCATATATCCAGATTTGTCATTTTGTGCAGGGAAATGGAGGGCTCTTGAGTAAATTTGCTCAAGCGACAGAGGTTAACTAACGGCAGGGACCGCCGTATCACCCACAAACGTCTTGTTGGTGACAGTTGTGGATTTTTGTGGAAGTCTAACATCAAGGATAAGATTTTCCACAGATGCAAGGGTGAAAAGCAACAATGCAGAGATCTTTTGCTGTTGATAATCCGTTCGCTTAGATTTTGCCAGCAAGTGGACATCGAGATACAAGGATCAACTGAAACTTATCTCCCCCCCAAGTATTCTATTAACGATGGGGGGATTCCCATCAAACGAACATTAGACAGAAACGTTACATGCACCGTGAAGTTGGTGGACACACCGAACTCGCTGAGGACAGCTTTGGCGCGGAATCTGCTGGAGAAGACAGTAAAGAGTAAATAATCAACTGGCCAAGCAAACTGACACAGTATGGCATGTTCAAAATCTACTAGATGGCAAGTCCAACATATCACCGGCGTCACTTGAGTTGAGGTTGGACATGAATATGTGGCAGTGCGGAGTGGTTTTCACCACGGTGGTTGCCGGTTCACCATGTTTCCCTTCCCGACAGCCTAATTTGTTACTCGGGCAGGTACACTCTGTCTGGCACATTTCGACAACGGTTCGATGAGAAAGGTAGAATGTAAGTCATTATTGCACCAATTCTGTTGAATATCCTGAGTTCAGAGGGGTGATTTATCTTGAAAGCCCGTCTGGTATTCACGTGTTTGCAAATGTGAGACCACAGGCATACAAATTGCAAAGTGGCATTCTCGTAACACTGGTTCATTTCACGCATGTTAAGGCCTAAGCCCAAGCAACATGGTAAAAATCAGTCTCATTACCAAAACGCTTGCTCTGAACTACGTTTCTGGCACTTTTAGCAAAGACGAATGAATGCTGAAAGTGGCCGGAGTGAATCTAAAAAGCTTCAAATGTCGGGTGAGCCAGATTTATGTTCAATATTAGAATAATCGCTCTCTTCTAATTTGGGATCTTAACTCTCCTAAATCCCCTCTTTCTCATCCCGACTGGGGAACAATGATTGAACTTTTGCGAGAAAATTCCATTACAAATCTTCATAAAATTTAATATTACTGTGCCATTCTTTTAGTTATTTTCTGCCAAATCATTGACGAGTGATCCAGGTGTGTGTATTTCAGAGTACGGCTAATTTATAAGCGGAAAGATTTTATAAAGCATACAGCATTCAGTGAACACAGATGCACAGCCACATTTTTTCTGCTCTCCGTGACAAACAGGCAAACAGATTGTTCCAGTTCTTTGACCCCATGTTAGTTAGCAGGACCACTGAAATTTAGACCAGTCACAGTCATATTTGAGAGGTCGGGTGGCACGTGCTCAAATGCGGCACGTTCTGACGAACGGAAGAGAACCGTTGCCTAGAGTTTTTGAATTTGACCAGGCTTATATCCTACAGTTGCTAGGGCACGTCGTGCAAAATCTATTAATCTCTTCGAATGTTCACCGGTACGTGTCACAAGGAAAGTGGCACGCTTAACGCCAAAAAAGTGGAACATAAAGTTACTGCTTTTGATAAACCTCTGGCATGATAGCTCCGGTGCAATGGGTTTTATTTGCCTTTCGTTTGGTCATTGTGAGCTGTTAGGCCGACCAAACAAATGCGGTGCGGAAAAATGCAGTTTTGTTGCGAGATGTAAGTTACTTTTACGAGTTCTTACCCTGTGTAATAAAAAAGGAAATCTGTGTATAAGAGACGATGACAGAATTCCCCATGGACTTATCGGGACAAAACAGTGAATTACTGAAAGCCCAGAACCCTCCCTTGGCTGGGCGCTGTGTCGCCAACCGATGGGATATTCAAATTTTAAATTATCCTCTTATTTGTTCTTACTCGGGGACTTATGATGTTGTGAGCTTCAAGTGTCAGCTTGCCAGTGCCATCCTGCATTTTGATAACAACTACTAAAGACGGACCACCGGATGAATAGCATTAGTAATTCGAACCAACCCCAATTGCCATCTATACCAAAATACGAAATTTGCATCTGTGTGCGTTTGTAAGCTACTCTAGGTCTGAACTACTCGTTTGGCCGCAAGCTGATCCACAACGGTATAAATTGATAGCTTCTCGGCTATCCATTAAGGGAGAGTATCACGACCGTTTTGATAAGAGGATCCAGGTTCGTTTTCACCTTGACCAGTCGTTACCTATGTGAAGGGTTGCAGCACTTTATTAAGCAGCTTCGGTTTAGTCGATCCCGATCATAATGTGCATTGGGGATAGTGCGATTATATGCTTTGGAAATAAGCAGGAGCTTTGCGAGATACAGTGGTGGTAGCAATACTTATAAGTAAATACTGGAACCTAAACGTTTAGCCACTGGTGGCCGAACGGTTAAGTGTTAAAACTACTAGCCGGGAGGTCGCGGGTTCGAGACTCTTCGGAGTTTGGTGAGATGCGCACTGTTCACGATTCCCAATAAGGATGAAACAGCTGCACAGTGCTTCTCGGTTTTAATCGGCGAGCCGATCCACCTCCTCGTGGTGCCGACCGGGTAGCCTGGACGTCAGTCTGGGTGAGCTAAGAGTTCAGCAACTCCAGACAGGGCTAACAACCCCGTTTGGTTTCAATGTGCTGGTTAATTTCGACAATGTATACTACGAGTCATCTGGCGCCTCCTCACCAGTTCCAACCAGTACAGAGAAGAGACTCGTTGCGTTCACGTGTGAGGAATGTGGCAAGTGCCGCAAATCGAAAGCTGGCTTGG